CATGGGTTAATTGCTCTCACTGTCAGAAAATTCCTTGTTTCTAGGTTGAATCTCTCCTTGGTCAGTTTCCATCCATTATTCCTTGTCTGGCCTTCAGGTGCTTTGGAAAATAGTGTGACCCCCTCCTCTCTGTGGCAGCCCCTTAAATATCGGAAGACTGCTATATCCAGAGGGATTACTGGATAAAGGAAAATTAAATTAAATTAAACCCAGACAACAGAGATGCTCTTAATAAACTAGGACCTGTGACTTGGGGGTTTCTTTGCTTCAAAACAAGATGTTCGCTATTTGGGGGTGCTTTGTGATCCAGAATTTGTACTCAGATAGCAACTGTGGTCAACACTTGGATTTGCATAATTATGACTAACAGGCCAACTGATTAGATTGGCTATAGTTGTCCATAGATTGGTCCCATCCAACTTGACCAATGCAATGTGTTTTATGCAGGGCTTCTTAAAAGGGTTCATACATTATAAAGTCACAGCACTCAGGCTGTGATTTGAGATCAAATGCTGCCCATTAGCAAAATCTGAACAAGTTGCCAGTTGCTCACTGAGCACAATTTAAATTGTTGGTATTGACCTTTAAAGCCGTAAGTGGGAATTCTGGCTCGGGATATAATTCATGCTAATTTATGGAGATCCTACAATATTTAAACGAGCGTATTGGAAATTATAGACTACGAAGAACGCCATCCAATAGAAATGCAGTTGGTCTAAAAACGGCTGAAAGCTCTATTGGTATGACAGGTTTAAATGGGTCAGGAGCAGGTAACAGCTAAAGTCAGCTAGCATGAAGTCCTAGAACAGCCCCACAAAAATGAAGTCGCTCTGGGAACTTCACCTTGCTGCCCGTTTTAAGTTTTCATCCTCAGCTCCTCACTCCTATACAGTGTGAACTGAGGGAGTAAGGAATGGAAACGATGGGACCCGCCTAGTTCTCTAAAATGTTGTCCACTTCTTGATTCTGGAGGAAATAAACCCACATCACCCTCAAGCCATTCCTTGTCTGCTGTGAGAATAGGAACTTCTAATTTTTTTATTTTTTTTTGGCTGTGTCAAAAGTAGTGTTTTTCGTCTTCTGCCAGCACAACAAGTAATGTTATGAGCAGTCTTTAAATTTGTAGGAGAAACCTACTTTTCAACCAGCCAATGGATGCTTTTGTGGGCATTCTCCCTTCCTTCGAGATTCAGGGATGCCCAACCTTGGTAACTTTAAGATCTGTGGACTTCAACTCCTAGCAAGCTGGCTGGGGAATTCTGGGAGTTGAATTCCACAAACCTTCAAGTTTCCAAGGTTGGACATCCCTGTTCTAGTTACTGACCATTGCCCTCTGTGACCATTTTGTTCTGGGTTGCTGGACTACTGCAATAACATTTTTTTTGTGGGGGGAGTGCTCAATCAGCCCACCAGTGAACTGGGAGACATTTTTGGGTGTGTTTTTTTAACCAGTTGCTGATGCAGCAATGAAATGGCAGATATTTCCTTTCCTTTCTTTTGAAATTGATCCAATGGAAAGAAGATGCTTGACCCAAAGGTGCTTTTTCAAGAGGCAACTGGGCTTTCTGGTTTTTCTTTGAAGACATTTCTCTTCTCATCTGAGAAGCTTCTTTTATTCTAGCTAACTGGTGGGGAATAAAAGGATTTATATTCTTCCAGTCAGCTGGTCATTAGCACTCAGGATCATTGAGGCCACTTGAGGGTGTCAAGATGGGAGCCATCTTTTACACTGGGCCTTCAGGCCTGCCACATTTTCTGCTGTGGGGAAATGGGAGGGGGGATTATATAGAGTAGGGGAGATATATAGCCTAAATAACATTCCTTTCTCAGAGAGTCAAGGACACCTTGCCCTGCACCTGGAGTGGTGTGACTGGGAGGAATCTCCAGTTGGGACGGTGCCTGATTGGATCATGTGATGGATATGTAGGTGCTGAATAGGGACTTGGACTTTCATTTGGTTGCGGGAAAACCTGGAAGCTTTCAGATTTGGGTTTTCCCAGATGCGCCAATATGACATCTCTAATAAAATGGAACTTTGGGGAACTTCAAGGCTCAGAGCCTTCTTTCGTTGTGGGTGTTACTTGAAACCCTGACAGCAGGTGGATCTTCCTGGCTACGGTGACTGTTTTGTACAGAATTTTGCTGATATAGTTTTTACTCCTCATAGGTAGAATCCAATGCAATTATTGGGACAGTGATGTACCAGATGTGCTGGGATGTCTTTTGCTTGGTAGACTCTGTAAACTTTAAAGAAATGGGGAAAATTATATGCCCCTCAGACAGGGTTCGCAATTTGGGAGTCCTCCT